AACTGTGCGCTCAGTGGACGCAAACCAAAGCCACCAACGATTCGCTCACTAAACGACTCACTTCTGCCACCAATGAGATCGACGACATCTACAAGAGTGTGGACACGAAGACCCGAGAAGTGGACAAATTGGAGGCGAAGATCAGTGAATTGATGGCGAAGATCTCGGAACAGAGGAGTGAAATACAAGGACTGACTGTCGCTAAGCATGTGGTGAGAGATTTGGAGAGAGATCTCGAGAGAGAAAGAGTGGAGAACTCGAAACTCAATGATCTGTTGGCTATCTTTCGCGAAGAGAAGCTCAAAGACATTGAACACAACATTTCGGTCGAAGACTTTAACCAATCGTTTAATAGGTTTGTCCACTCTTTCAATGGCAGTACTGTCGGAGAGTCCATGGATTGTGTCCTTAATATTAAAGCACAAGAACTGGAGACCGCTCTCGAAGACAAACACAAGGAATTGAATACTATTTTGTCACTCAATGAAGAGCTCAAGAATAAGTTGACGGAAATGAGTGTCACTTTAGACCAGAAGAGTCGCGATTTAGAGTCTATTGAGACAGTAGTTGAAGAGTCGACAGAATTTATGAATCAACTGAAAGACAATTGCAGTCAATTAGACACCAAAGTCCACGACTTGACCGCTGAATGCCTTTCGTATAAAGAACTAAATGAGACTCAAAAGCAAACCAATGAAATGCTTATTAACTGCAATACATCGTTGACTCAAGAACTCAATAGAATGACACAAAATTGCGATAATTTGATGCAAACATTGGATTCAATTCTCAAAGAAAAGACCGATTTGGAGACTAACTTCGAGGAAAATATGAAGAATTGGCTAAAAATGAATGAAGAGTTGAAGAATAAGTTGAATGAAATGGAGACCACTTTCAATGAAAAGAGTCGTGACTTTAAGAACAGTCTCGAAGACAAACACAAAGAATTGACTGATATTTTGTCACTCAATGAAGAGCTCAAGAATAAGTTGAAGAAAATGAGTGTCACTTTAGATGAGAAAAGTCACGATTTCGAGTCCATTCAAACTGAAGCTCAAGAGTTGAAGAAACATTTGAATCAATTGAGTGATAATTGTAGTCAATTGGAGACCAAAGTGTCGGACTTAACCAATGAATGTGTTTCTCATAAAGAATTGAATGAAACTCAAAAGCAAACCATTGAAGACTTAATTGTCAGAAACACATCGCTCTCACAAGATCTCAATGAAGAGAAACAAAATTCACACAAATTAACACAAGAATTGAATTCTGTTATCAAAGAAAAGACAGAATTAGAGAAAACACTCGAAGAAGAGAAGAAGAATTGGCAAAAAACAGCTGAAGAGTTTAAGAATAAGTTGAATGAAATGGAGACCTCTTTCGATAATAAAAGTCGCGATTTTGAGAAACTTCTTGAAGAGAAACAAAGCGAATTGACTAACATTTTGTCACTCAATGAAGAGCTCAAGAATAAGTTGACGGAAATGAGTGTTACTTTAGACGAGAAGAGTCACGATTTCGAGTCCATTCAAACTGAAGCTCAAGAGTCGAAGGAATATTTAAATGAATTGAAAGAGAGTTGCAGTCTATTAGAGACCAAAGTAGAAGAGTTGTCGAAAGTCAATTAGACACCAAAGTCCACGACTTGACCGCTGAATGCCTTTCGTATAAAGAACTAAATGAGACTCAAAAGCAAACCAATGAAATGCTTATTAACTGCAATACATCGTTGACTCAAGAACTCAATAAAATGACACAAAATTGCGATAATTTGATGCAAACATTGGATTCAATTCTCAAAGAAAAGGCGGATTTGGAAACAAACTTCGAGGAGAATATGAAGAATTGGCTAAAAATGAATGAAGAGTTGAAGAATAAGTTGAATGAAATGGAGACCACTTTCAATGAAAAGAGTCGCGACTTTAAGAACAGTCTCGAAGACAAACACAAAGAATTGACTGATATTTTGTCACTCAATGAAGAGCTCAAGAATAAGTTGAAGGAAATGAGTGTCACTTTAGATGAGAAAAGTCACGATTTCGAGTCCATTCAAACTGAAGCTCAAGAGTTGAAGAAACATTTGAATCAATTGAGTGATAATTGTAGTCAATTGGAGACCAAAGTGTCGGACTTAACCAATGAATGTGTTTCTCATAAAGAATTAAATGAAACTCAAAAGCAAACCATTGAAGACTTAATTGTGAGCAACACATCGCTCTCACAAGATCTCAATGAAGAGAAACAAAATGCACACAAATTAACACAAGAATTGAATTCTGTTATCAACGAAAAGTCAGAATTAGAGAAAACACTCGAAGAAGAGAAGAAGAATTGGCAGAAAACAGCTGAAGAATTGAAGAATAAGTTGAATGAAATGGAAACCTTTTTCGATAATAAAAGTCGCGATTTTGAGAAACTTCTTGAAGAGAAGCACAAGGAATTGAATGGTGTTTTGTGTCTCAATGAAGAAATGAAGACCAAATTGTCTGAAATGAGTGCCACTTTAGATGAGAAGAATCGCGATTTCCAGTCCATTCAGATTGAAGTTCAAGAGTCGAAGAAACATATGAATCAATTGAATGATAATTGCAGTCAATTGGAGACCAAACTGTCGGAATTAACCAATGAATGTGTTTCTCATAAAGAATTAAATGAAACTCAAAAGCAAACCATTGAAGACCTAATTGTCAGAAACACATCGCTCTCACAAGATCTCAATGAAGAGAAACAAAATGCACACAAATTAACACAAGAATTGGATTCTGTTATCAACGAAAAGTCAGAATTAGAGAAAACACTCGAAGAAGAGAAGAAGAATTGGCAAAAAACAACTGAAGAGTTGAAGAATAAGTTGAATGAAATGGAGACCTCTTTCGATAATAAAAGTCGCGATTTTGAGAAACTTCTTGAAGAGAAACAAAACGAATTGACTAACATTTTGTCACTCAATGAAGAGCTCAAGAATAAGTTGACGGAAATGAGTGTCACTTTAGACGAGAAGAGTCACGATTTCGAGTCCATTCAAACTGAAGCTCAAGAGTCGAAGGAATATTTAAATGAATTGAAAGAGAGTTGCAGTCTATTAGAGACCAAAGTAGAAGAGTTGTCGAAAGAATTCGTTTCCTGTAAAGAATTGAATGAATCTAAAAAGCAAACCATTGAAGACCTAATTGTGAGCAACACATCGCTCTTACAAGAACTCAATGAAGAGAAACAAAATGCAGACAAATTAACACTAGAATTGGATTCTGTTATCAACGAAAAGTCAGAATTAGAGAAAACACTCGATATGGAGAAAAAGAACAGTATTAAAGCGAGCGATGAAATCCAAGAATTGCATTCAGTTGTCGACAAATTAACCCAATAGAATTGGATTCTGTTATCAACGAAAAGTCAGAATTAGAGAAAACACTCGATATGGAGAAGAAGAACAGTATTAAAGCGAGCGATGAAATCCAAGAATTGCATTCAGTTGTCGACAAATTAACCCAAGAATTGGATTCTGTTATCAAAGGAAAGATAGAATTAGAGAAAACACTCGAAGAAGAGAAGAAGAATTGGCAGAAAACAGCTGAAGAATTGAAGAATAAGTTGAATGAAATGGAAACCTTTTTCGATAATAAAAGTCGCGATTTTGAGAAACTTCTTGAAGAGAAACACAAGGAATTGAATGACGTTTTGTGTCTCAATGAAGAGATGAAGACCAAAATGTCTGAAATGAGTGCCACTTTAGATGAGAAGAATCGCGATTTCGAGTCCATTCAGATTGAAGTTCAAGAGTCGAAGAAACATATGAATCAATTGAATGATAATTGCAGTCAATTGGAGACCAAAGTGTCGGACTTAACCAATGAATGTGTTTCTCATAAAGAATTGAATGAAACTCAAAAGCAAACCATTGAAGACCTAATTGTCGGCAACACATCGCTCTCACAAGAACTCAATGAAGAGAAACAAAATGCACACAAATTAACACAAGAATTGGATTCTGTTATCAAAGAAAAGACAGAATTAGAGAAAACACTCGATATGGAGAAGAAGAATAGTATTAAAGCGAGCGATGAAATCCAAGAATTGCATTCAGTTGTCGACAAATTAACCCAAGAATTGGATTCTGTTATCAAAGGAAAGATAGAATTAGAGAAAACACTCGAAGAAGAGAAGAAGAATTGGCAGAAAACAGCTGAAGAGTTGAAGAATAATATGCATGAAATGGAGACTTCTTTCGATAATAAAAGTCGCGATTTTGAGAAACTTCTTGAAGAGAAACACAAGGAATTGAATGACGTTTTGTGTCTCAATGAAGAGATGAAGACCAAAATGTCTGAAATGAGTGCCACTTTAGATGAGAAGAATCGCGATTTCGAGTCCATTCAGATTGAAGTTCAAGAGTCGAAGAATTGGCTAAAAATGAATGAAGAGTTGAAGAATAATTTGAATGAAATGGAGACCACTTTCAATGAAAAGAGTCGCGACTTTAAGAACAGTCTCGAAGACAAACAAAAAGAATTGACTGATATTTTGTCACTCAATGAAGAGCTCAAGAATAAGTTGACGGAAATGAGTGGTACTTTAGACGAGAAGAGTCGCGATTTCGAGTCCATTCAAACTGAAGCTCAAGAGTTGAAGAAACATATGAATCAATTGAGTGATAATTGTAGTCAATTGGAGACCAAAGTGTCGGACTTAACCAAAGAATGTGTTTCTCATAAAGAATTGAATGAAACTCAAAAGCAAACCATTGAAGACCTAATTGTCGGCAAAACATCGCTCTCACAGGAACTCAATGAAGAGAAACAAAATGCATGTCGGACTTAACCAATGAATGTGTTTCTCATAAAGAATTGAATGAAACTCAAAAGCAAACCATTGAAGACCTAATTGTCGGCAAAACATCGCTCTCACAGGAACTCAATGAAGAGAAACAAAATGCAAACAAATTAACACTAGAATTGGATTCTGTTATCAAAGAAAAGACAGAATTAGAGAAAACACTCGATATGGAGAAGAAGAACAGTATTAAAGCAAACGATGAAATCCAAGAATTGCATTCAGTTGTCGACAAACGGTTTACGAGTCTTCGGAGAGACAAAACAAATTTGACGCAATTGTTAGCAGCAGAGCGTCTGAAGACCGAACATCTTGAAAGTCAATTGCAAAATATGGCCCAAAATGAAAGCGCTTTCAAAGAGTACGAGAAAATTATTTGCGATTTGAAGACTAAACTGAATACAGAAGAAATGTCTTTTGAATTTGAGCGCAAAAACAAAGAGAGATACGCCAAAGAGAATGAACAGTACTCACGAAGAATACAGTTCCTCGAGAATGAAGTGAGAAAATTGAATGAACTTTTGGAGGCCAGCAATGCACATACCGGTGCGCACAACAACAGCACCGTCTTCTCTATGCCGACGACTGTCAACATTCACACTCAACCCAATCAAACCAATCTAAACCTCACAGCAATGGACATATCGAACCCAAACGCCAGTAATTTATCGCTTAATATTAGTCGAAAGCTTCCGATGGGAACCGGCAGTCGATTAGCAATGGCTGACGAAGAGGGAGAGTTCATGAATCCAAACAATTTGATTGCTTTGAAACGCGGCGAGTGTTCAGTCAGTGACTTATTGCTGGACGAACAGCGACTCTCAATACTCCAGAAGAGGAATACAATGGTTTTGCCTCATCTGAAGAGCTCGTATGGCGTGGAACTGCCGTTTATGCCCAACAATACGGTCGACGCAGAGACTGTGAAAAACGGCTTTTCGTCGACTTCGCTGAATGAGTCGAAAGCGTTGAAACAAATCCAGAATATTAGTTATCAGAGAAACGAATTCACTTCCAATTGTAATAACAATTCTATCAGTTGTGATAATATCTCCATCAATGCTATCAATGGCAACAAATCATATAACAGGAGGTATACTATTCTCACATTTAGTTTATATGCATATGATTTAAAATATTTAATTTCATTTCAGAGTGGAGAACATAAAAATCAATTCAAGTAAAGTTAGTCTGAAGAACATAACGCCCACCAAAATGTTCAAACGGGTCATCAAAGGCAAGCAGACCTGGACTCCCAACAAGAAATGAATGCATTTTTATTTTCTAATACCTATAGTAAAACCCGTGACTATTAAATATTGTAGTTATCCATTGCTATTGTTGTGTAATTATTAATACATTACAGTATATTGTGTTTGAGTTTCTCTAATTCAGTTTTATGAAACAACTATTTTAATTTCCCTCTATTCTTATTATAAGTATATTTTATTCGCAAATCATTTTAAAAGTCTTGTTTTACTCAAACTATAGTTTACTGAATACTTTTTGTAAAGAATATTTTCTATATTTTTCTATCAATTGAAACAGTATTGTATTGAATGGAAACCAAAGTATAAATATATGAATATTTTTTGATTGTATTATTATTTGAAATAATAATAAATTTATAAGCTATTGTATTATTGTATTACCGTAATACAGTATTATTTTTAAGTCTTGATGTGAAAGTATCTTGGAAAGAATATCATAGCAAAAACTTAATAGATTATTGATAAAGTTTACGATGCAAATAAAGTTTAGCAGTCATTTGTTAGCAATGAATGAAATGCATAGATCCTGAACATCTCTATGGAAACAAAGAGTCGGGTGATTCAAAACAAATCGTATAGAATATATGGTATTCTGTTGTTTGTATGAAGTGGTCGTAAGAATGTCTAAATCTGAGAAAGAGATCAAACCAGTGATGACTAACAATAATATAGTGATTCAGGAGGAGAAGCCATTCTTTATATTATGTAAACCAAAACTATTGCCCCTAAAGTCGATGACTTTGGAGAAGTTGGAGAAAATGCAAACCGACGCCGAAGAGAAAGCCAAACAACTGATGGCTCAAAGCGATCCACAATAACACCACAAATCATTGAAATTCATAACTATTTGATAAATATCTCATCTTTTAATTATAATTCTTTATTACAGACAGTAATTATTAAAAACAAACGGAATATTAAATAAAGTTAAATAAAAATTAAAGAAAATAATTTGTAAATAAAATTAATAAAAGAATCGTTTTGTTGTGAAGTACTGTAAGTGTTAAACCATTTTAACGTCTGTTCCCTTTCACCCCAATTTAGTAGTATATTAAATACCGTTTATATTATGGCTTTGAAAGAAAGCATAGAAATTAAATTTAATAACCAATCAATCGATTCAAAAAGATATCACATGTTTGTAAACCTTTACTTAAAATGTGTGTTAATAGCGACACATTGGGAATGTAATGCTTTAGAAATACTTTTATATAAATTCTGATGATATGAAAAATTACATAAATTTTTATTCATTTATAAAATAGTTTGAAATGCATTGATGTGGTAACCAGTAATAGAATTTTAACAATTTGTAAACTTTTTGATTGCCATAGCATTACATTAATTACATTACATGCCACCCATACCTCCAAATCCTTGTCTATTATCATTAGGCCATAGATTAGGTGCCGGACTCTGCATATGAGGCATTCGCGCAGAATTCATATCTAATGTAATAAATAGTCATTAAAAATATGACACTTTAACCCATTATAAAGTCATATCAAACCTAATGGTCTCTGCATAGGAGTAGGGGTTAACCCAAAACCAAAATTATTAGTCGGAGACAGTGGCGGTTGAGCTGTGGGTGCGATCGAGAGGTTGTTGACGTGTCGGGCCAATTGGTTCATTGAGGGCGCGTTTTGCTTCTCATATTTACTGCCCATTAAGTTATCGACATTAATGTTGACATTTTTACTTAAGTCACTCCACGTGTTGTTTTGCGAGACACCGGTCGGAGAACTTGTTGTCACCTTTTGGTCCAAATTGGAGAACAAATCGGTTGAGTTCGCACTGGTATTCAAGGATATGTTGGTAGGCGTGAGCACACCGGACATTGTGTTTAAGCCCATAATTGGCGGCAAAGTACTGGCAGTTCCTTCAAAAGGATTCGATGATTGCATCAGAAGAGAGTTATCGGACAATAAATTTTGTGACGTTTGAGCACTGGTTGGACCCAAAGCTGTGGCGAAGTCCGCGAACTCATCCACTGATGAATTGGTGGCAGAACTGCCCTGAAATGCCGAGAAGTCTGCGAAGTCTTCTAAACTATTATTATTAAAGTTATGATTATTACTATTCATTAGATTTTTAGTTAGATTTAAATTATTATTGTTATTGACATTAGAAGTCAAGTCATTGGCTGTGAAACCAGAGTTTGTGCTAAAAATCTCTTCAAGTAATAGTTCGTTAGACTTGTTTTGGTTGACATTATTGGTGTTCCCTCGGGAAGGTGTGGTCTCTACGAGAGATGAGGTCTGATTGTGTTGAGAGTTGCCATCGGTTTTGCCGAAATTGACAGCTGCGCCCATATCTATCTTCTTGATGGTCTCCTTCTTAACCGCTCGCCGAGGACTGACGGCCGACCCATCACTTCGGGATCTATCGCTGGATTTAGTCGATTCGCCGATCGATTCCGAATCAATCGATTCGGGTTTGTCTTCAAAACTATTTTCACTGACAGTGTCTTCAAATTTCTTAGCCCTGCGTTCACTGCGACCAAAGCTGTCGTCTTCGATGTCAGGCTTACGAACCGGTGGGTCATACCAGCCATCGCTATACCTATTGAACGCAAATATAACTCAATTACTATTATTGCCCTCTTTTGCAGTTCATTGTATTCAGCAATTGATCTCAATTTTCGTTTCTCTCAAAATCAAATCAAATGTCAACTTATGTCAAGTGTTTGTGGCTTTGAGTCTATTATAGCTATTTTGCCGTTAATATAGTCAATAAACAAAATGCAAATCCTTTTGTTTTTTATGAGTCCATTACTTGTCATTCTCTCAAACTTATCATTAAAACTAAACACTCATTATATGACTGTTAAATGTTTAGTGAAAAACACTGTCACATGACATGAATCGTAAAAACAATTGTTTGCAACAGAAATGAATGGTTTCGACAATTACTTGCTGTGAAGACCCATTTGGTCGGACGCGACGCCAATGAACTTGTCTTTGGTTTTCTTGGCTTTCTTTCGCTCTTCTCTGAGTTTGTCGTCGTCTTGAATGAAGTCAATCAACGCCTTCACGCGATGTCTCACATTAATGCCCTGATCTTTGCCTAAGTCGTCGATATAGGAGTAGTTCTCCAGCGATCGCAAGTCATAAATGTGTTCTCTGGCGGACGTCACCACCCGTTCGGATCCATTCTTCACGAGATATGACAGCAGAAGCAGTGCCTTATAAGTGCGCCGCCAATTGGTGCGGTTGTCCTGAAGCATACGCTTCCACAGCATTCCCATCACTTCCGGGAAGTGCTCGTACGTGAAGGTATGGCCCGCTATCTCCGTCATCTGCGGTCCCGTCGGACCCCACGAGTCGTCGTTCGTCGCCTCTCGCACTTTGGCCTTCATTTGGGACACAAACACATGATATGAGTCTCGCAATCATCACCGCATCTCATCCAACACTCACCTCAACCTCCGTGTAATTCATGACAATATTTGTGCTGAAAAACAGACAAAACGAGTGATCAGTGAATGAATGGATTCATAGAAATGGGTGAAAGTCTTACGCCTTATCGTAGAGTTCCCTAACTTTCCACATATTTCTCGATTAATTCAATTGATGTGTAATTTATATGTTTTGTACTATCGATTCACTATTATATACAAAAGTATTGTTTCCAAATCACTGTTAACTGTAGCACACAATCAAACCATTAAAACACAAATTAATAATACATTTCAACATTAATTGCATTCAAAGTCAATGCAATTGTAATTGAGTTGTGATTTACAGTCATATCATAACAGTTGGCATTAAATGAGATGTTTTTGTTGAACATAAATGACGTCACTCTCAACACTCGACTCCCGTTCCACTGATTTGTCACTCATTTGCGATATGTTTAACACAATTACAATCAAACCATTTATTGACACCATTTCTGTTTGACAAACATTTCCTTTCACTCATCACTTCATTACGTCGGCACGAGCAGTGACTGCTGTCCCCACCTTTGGTACCTTTTCTAACAAACCAAATAATTGCATTCAATATACAATTATAGGCACAAATACAACCAAATGTTTGCCATACAAATAGGCCTATATAGGAGTGATAGTGTCCATAGGAATTCATATGTAATCCAGTGTTCAATGCATTCATTACATGAGAAATTCATAAAACAAATTCAATTCATGCAATTAGTGTAGTGTTAGTACAGGTATACAGGTATGCATGGGTTGGTACGTCATGAGAGTACAGGTGTATTGCATGTGTTTGCAAAGTAGGTCATCCCTCACTTGTATTTGATTGACTATAACTTATTTATGAATGAATGCTAGCTTTGATGCAAATGTTATGAATACCTGTTGTTAGACATAACTAACTGTTTGAACACTCATTCAATGTATAATTATTTGAATCGACAATATCTTGTATACAAATGTTAAGCCAATTAGTGGTCAACTATTTAGTGATTAGACACTTGTCTGTGAATGCATGTGCCATATAATTACATAAGACATAGACCTGGATCACTTTTGTAGACACATTTGCAGACTCTTATTATAATTATAACTTATTATTGGTTTGATTTAGCATTTGTAATGAATGTGGTTTTGCAGCAAAACTTTTGCTTGTATTTTGTAGACATAGACCTGGATCACTTTTGTAGACACATTTGCAGACTCTTATTATAATTATAACTTATTATTGGTTTGATTTAGCATTTGTAATGAATGTGGTTTTGCAGCAAAACTTTTGCTTGTATTTTGTGTGTCATTTGAATCACAATTAATTGGTTTGATCTGAAAATATGTTTGAATATGTCATTCAAGACATTTGACAGATTATATGCTACGATATGATACAATCTTACAATCAAAACAAAGTGAGACTTGAAAATATAATTTAGAAATTGTTGAAAAGTTTTCTAATTGATGGCAAACTGACAGATGAATAGGAAAAGTGGAAATTAGTCACAAAAAGCTACTTATGAATGGTTTCAGTGATTCACTAATTGTCAATAACTTATGAATATTTGACTGGTTTTCAAGTTTGATTTGTTTTGATAACTTTTTTGTGGTTATGTTCTAACGGTTGTAACAAATCATATGAGATATGGTTTCAATGAAAATCAAATGTATTTCCAATGAATAATATGTTTGAAGTGAACACAAGAGGTGTTTATATGAGAACTCACACTAAATAATATGCGAACAGAGAATTGAATTGAATTGAAGTCAATATAACATTAATTTCGAAATGGTTTGAAGGGTTTTGTGGGACATATGGAGTGTAAGGACTGGTATGTCTGTATGTCTATGGGTTTGTCGCGGTGTTGGCTGTAGTAATAGGTAGGGATGGGATGGGAGGAAGAAGTGGAACGCAATTTATTATTGAATATTACTTTTGCATAACTCATAACTACGGCTAAGTTTAGTGTATTATTATTGTTGTGAATATTATTTGTGAAGTAAAGGCGTTTCGGTTTCCAGTCAATGAAGGCATGCATTCATTCATTCAGTCATTCATTCATTGCTTATGAATATTGAGAAGAATTGATAGAAGAGATCATTCTTTACACGAATTCCCATTCAATTGAGAGTCAATTGTGAGGTAGTATGAGGTGCTTATGGTAGTCATTGCAGTCATTGCAGTCATGGCTGGGAAGTGCTTCGGATGAATGGAGACCAACAATCTCTGTAATTGCAATGTAGGGGACGGGAGGGACGGCACTCGGCAGACCTGACCCGCACTCCATCAATAGAGTGCAACAAAACTGATGCCAATTCATGAATGCATGCAAACCAATGACCATTAAGTTTAGTCAAACTTTAGAAAGTGGTGCACAAGAGGTATAGTACAGTACACCAGAGGAACAGTAGTTGTGGCACTGGTAGCAGTGGAAGCACTGGTAGCTGTCGTAGCATTGATAGCACTGAGAGTCACAACTCGCCACTCAATGCACACTCGGAGGCACTGATTGCGGCGGCAGTTGTAACACCTTTTGGGAAGAAAAGGTAAGTTATCTCTGAAATTGGATACATTGGATACAGTGGTGGTATTGATGAAGTCCCGGAGCTCTCTCTCTCTCCCTCTCTCTCTCTCTCTCTCTCCCTCCCTCTCTCTCTCTCTCTCTCTCTCTCAGAGCTTCATATTTCTTTGAAATGGTTTGAAAATAGAGTGTTTTGTTGTGTTAGAGTCAACACAATAGGCATAAGTGTATTGTGTGACCAACTTTTGGGCTCTCATTGTATAGACTGGAGTGAGAACACAAGTTTTTGGTCGCCTTTTTAACAGCCCATAGCACTGGCACTCAATATATTCAATATATAATACAATTTAAAAGTTAACTTTTTGTTCAATGTATTGATTGTAACAAACGCTCACTTCCTGTCAAACGTTAACGTGATTTGAATTTCTTGTATTTGAAGTCAAATAATAAGCCAATAATGACAATAAGCACTATAAGTGTGCACCAGTTCTCATGTTTTACGTGTTTTACCACTCATTGAGCACCACTTCCAACACCATTTCCACTTCACTCCATATCCTAGACTTATCTCTCAAATAGTTGTTCATTCACTACATCTCCCAATCGATAACTGATATAATAGTTAGTAAACTATAGTAAACTAACTATTTTTGTAACTCTTATATCGAATTACGAGTAAAATAATGATAAGAATAGCAGTTTTGGATTACTTAATGGCTTTCATTGAGTTCAGTGTAAACTCATCCCTAACCACTCGGCCCTAACTTTTCCCACCAGTCCTTTGTGTTGAGTGTGAATTCAATAAATATATATCGAGATGAAGTCAATCCCATAGTTATGACCTTTCGATGCCATAGTTTGAGGTACACTAAGAAGTCGTGTTCACAGAATGTAAAACTCTGTCAATAGGTTTGCAGTTAAGGTTTCTTTGAGTGAAATCAAAAAATATGGTTTAAAACGACTTTTTAAACTAAACTCTACGGGGGATCTATTGGCCTGTATTGCACTCATATTGGGCTGTATTAGTTTCTATTGGCTGTATTGCCTCTTATATACGAGAAGTGTTTAATATATTGAATGAATTCGCGATTCTTGACAGTCTATATACACTGTAATGGTGTGTATAGTGTACAGCAATTGCTCTTTTATACAATAGATTAGTAGAATTGAAAAACTGTTCGGAAGTTCATCTGTGGGGGGCTCTCACACAACCCAAACTCAATGAGTCTCTCTCTCTCTCTCTCTCTCTCTACGATTCTCTCTCCTATTCTCTCTCTCATACGGACTCTATTTGATGGCGAGAGAGGCCGGACTATTGGCAGCGACTGTTTGCAGGCATGCATTGAAACAATTTTAAATGCTTTCATTTAAATATAATAAGAAATGTAGTTCGGCTTCAGTTGACAATCGGAGTTCATATTTATAGCGCGACAGTCCATACAATAGGCGAATACATAAACACGAATATATCACTGAATATAATTCACTAAAAACTTGGGTTTCATTCGTTTGCATTCAATTGACACTCGATTTGATTGGTTTAATGCATGGATTGCGTCCACTCGAGAGATGTGTTTTGCTGTCTTTGCCACCATATAGTGTAGTGTTTGGCAGATGGCAAAGAGTGAGTGTCTATTGTCCTCTGGTTAACCCATCCGTGAAGAATTACCGAACAGTTTTGTGGACCATAATAGAGACCGCCTCTCATCCCATAATAAATGCAATCAAATGAATGCTTTATTTGGTGTGCTTTCAAATAATCACATCCTTAGTCACAATAGCCGACCATTACTCCACTTATATTCAGCCAATTATTTATAAGAATAAATACCGAAAAGGGTTTATTGGAAAACTTTTATTACATAACCACCGGTTAGGCGCTGGTATGTGCGCTATGTATGTCTGTATGTGTGTATGGACTCAATGTGCTGTATGTATGCGCTTTCAGACTTTAATTAAGTTATTGTTCTCTTAATTACAATCAATTGACAATTCGTAAGCAATAAATATATGCATAACAGCGATGTTAGGCATAAAACCATTTGGCGCCAAATATACCGAAACAAATTGCAGACCAAAGTCTTAACGATTTGACTGACATTTGCAGAAATTACCCCCAATTTACAGATGCTTTCAATGATTGAATGTAAGTTTTTTATGCCGATACAGCCGTACATTCATAAGTAAGATAATCACATAGAGTTTAGCGCAAACATTGTTCTACCGGTGCTGTCATCGCATGGAAACACATTTTAAGAGTTGACAAGAAATGCTGGAAGTGGTTGTGCTCTTGTGGGGCAAAAGCACATAAAGACAACCATTGAGGACTGTTTGATAATGTTGTCAAACTTATAAAATGATAAAACATATTATTTGTGATTAACTATTCATATGCAGAGAATTTTGATGCCCAGGAATAGTTGCAAAAGTCTTTAATTTAAAGCAAACTATTCTATAATTGTCTACAAAGTTATCGTTGACTACATATCTAAACACTTAAAAAGCGATGGATTTTGATGAGCTATCACTTGTTAGACACGCAATACAATACATAAACTGTATATTGAGTGTTATGAAGCTGTAGTCATATTTTTGGTCTACAATAATATCATTAATGAATAGTATTGAGACAAGTTGTGAGTTGTGCTGTCAGTCTTCGAGTGATAAATTGCTTCTAATCTGTGCTCATATTTGTGTGACTTTTATGAACATAACTCTCTGTCTTATACAGTATATGCCTTGGATTCACTATCAAAACAAACGCTCTCTCTCTCTCTCTCTCTCTCTCGAGACTTTCACTCATTAGAGTATACAATTTCATATGCATAATAATATAGTTTGAAAATAATATTTTATATGTTAATACTTGTTTTCTTCAGACACACATGAGAGAGAGAGAGAGAGAGAGCAAGAGAGAGAGAGAGAGCAAGAGAGAGAGAGAGAGAGAGCTAAAAGACTGCAATTGAAAAGACTAATAATAATGATGATATTTTGTAGTCTTTAAGCTGAAGACTGTGAGGAGTAGTGTATAAGCTCGCGATGAATGGATGCAAAGTTTGATGCAATGAAAGGTGCAAAACAGTGAACAGCGCTCTTCAGTGCCGTTGCATTGGTTTGGCTGTCATTGAAGAGGAAGAACATGAAACATGTCTTGCATTATAACTCAGAGACAGTGAAATAAAATAAAATGTTGAATATTTTAGTTATACTCGATTTGGTCTATTCTTGGTGTGAATAATACATTTGAAAAATATTAGATTCAAACGAAACACATCCGGAGATGTAAAGCGATGTAAAAGTTTTTCTGACTCAATAGAAAATCTAATATAAATTGCAAAATAGAGAGAAACATCACAATATGAAAGATTGCATTATTTTTGTAGTCAAACTTATATGTTTTTGGCATCAAATCAAAAGCGAAATGCATTTCATTGATATGTATTAAACATATGGATTGATAAATAGGTTCCCAAACTGATGACCTCTACTCCAATCCCAATCCCAGTCCCAATCCCCTACTAATAGTGATCGCATGGGATTTCATTGCGCTTCTCATTTCACACAGCAATTAGTGAATGAGACATCATATTAACAACAAAACAGTTTATTTAAGTTACAAAATGTACAAAATAGGGGCAAACCTTTTAAGCACATTAATCGCTCACTTAGCCAACCCTCATCACTGACCTAAACTACATTATAATTGAAATTTCGAGAAATGGTCATTAGAAACACCTCTTGAATACCCCGATGAGCGTAAACTCATAATAATTAATCTAAACTCTGAGCTCTCTTTGGGAACATTTTGACAGTGAACTCAATTTTCACATTTCATTCACTTTTCTCTCTTAAATGAGTTATTTGTACAAACATTTCATTGATTAATGTTTTCGAAAGAGATTCTCTCCGATGGCTTCGAGTAATTTAAAACCACAAATCATAACAACATTTCGTTAACTCATAAACACTCTCTTAATACAAATATAATCTATTAATTCTAATAAGGCATCACTTTTCCATTGCACTGTACTGTACAGTATATAAAACATGAAATGTTTAGTATATTGTAACATGTTATGTGATTCATAATACAGTCTCTCTTAATACAAATATAATCTATTCATTCTAATAAGGCATCACTTTTCCATTGCACTGTACTGTACAGTATATAAAACATGAAATGTTTAGTATATTATAACATGTTATGTGATTCATAATACAGAATCTATTGAACAGATGTAAAGCCTTGTTTGTCACTGATTTATGGCCAACATTCAAGACTTATAAATCAAATTATGCCAACAGTTATGTGCGAACATCACTCACTTCTCATCACTTTCTTTCATAGTTTTAATTAATTATTATTTATATTGTAATCAAATCTGAAGAGAAATTTTTATTGAAAAAAAAGTTTCTTAAATTCTGTCAAATATTCACTCTCTTTGTGAATGTGAACCGAATTCTCGAATTAAAATGTGATATGAATTAAAAACTGTGGATTCATTTTGGGGCCAATTGTTGGCTGAATATGAGACACAGATTTGGGAACCGCTGACAATCGATTTTCCAGAACTCTTAGCGTGTCGTCCAATCCATGATCTTTAATCTCATTTAATTCGTTATTTAAACACTTTTTGATGGCCACGTGTTTGAGTCGGGATTACAGTAAAAATTATTGAATTCATCAGGGTGGTCTGTATCGGTGTGTTATGAGCGCTATTGTCGTCGTAATCCCAATATGTTTATTGAATGAGACATTCGGCGGCTTATGATTGCATTGAATGATATGTTTGGTTGAGATGTGCGAAATCCAGATTAGAAAAGCGTGGCTTTTGTTTGTTTTCATACTTCACTGGATATACAAAATAAAGATTATTTCAATCACACAATGCGTTCGTTTAATAGAAATGAAATTTCCATGAAGAAAATATCAATCCTTTAAAAGTCAATAGTTTTCCGCAAAAATTATCCCTACCATTGATACCAACGATTATATGGTTGTTATTGTGTTAAAAACTTCTTTTTCTAAACTAATTATAAATTTTGGCTTTATTTCGTATTTATATCATTACAATAGCGATTGCAAATAATCCTACTTATAGTGAACGGCTCGTGTCGGCCAGTCCTCAAAGACTTGTGCTATCAGTGAGTGAACATAATAAATATGATAAATGTCTTTATTTCTATACACGTACACACATATTTTGCAATTATCAATATGATTAAATATTTAATTAAATAAAACAATTTAATCATCTGTATTATGAATCACATAACATGTTATAATATACTAAACATTTCATGTTTTATATACTGTAGAGTACAGTGCAATGGAAAAGTGATGCCTTATTAGAATGAATAGATTATATTTGTATTAAGAGAGAGAGAGAGAGAGAGAGAGAGAGAGTAAGAATAATACATAAAATTCTAGCTCTAAATCACAGAGCACTGTAGTATATACTGTAGTGCCGTATATTCTTACTATACTTTGAATTTAAATTACTTATCCAACTTATAGTTTGTCCTTGATCAAAAGAATTACCGGCGCACACCTATTCCCATATCACTAATCGAAAATCCTTTATAATGGGTACTAATTTATTAAACGGAAATTGCATTAATATATTTAAAATAGTGCCGTATTTATATAAAATTGCTTTACTATTGAAATGTCATTAAATTGTTTTATTTAATTAAATATTTAATCATATTCATAATTGCAAAATATGTGTGTACGTGTATAGAAATAAAAGCATTGATCATATTTATGATGCCAAAATGTTCACTCACTTTATTTGTTGCTATTTTGAGAATTAAATTTTCTAAACCCTATGAAACTCAACATTAGAGCCCAGGGATGGTTGTAATCACTGCAAAGTGAGCCGAACTCTCGATTTCATTATAAATTTTGCTTCATTTTCAAATCTCAGAGAATTTCTTGAGCCTACTTTTATGTCTAATTATTTTTGTTAACCTCTTATAATAGAGTCAAATAGACTTTCAAATGAGCGAAAACTATTTATAAATCAAAATGCATTTAAACAACGCTTTGTTATTACAATCAATTGTGTGGATCAGTATTGCCATGAAGGAGGTGTTCCCTCCGCTGGCAACCAATGCTTGGCTTTCAATTCATTGACAGAAAGCACTGCTGAAGCTATGGTTAGCGCATCCCAAAGGCCGTCCGAAAAGCAGTCAAATAACTATTATTTTGGTCTTACTTTACGACATGTGTGTGTCTGTAGTCTTACATGAGATGCGAACGGGTATTAAGCGCTTGCTTTACACACAATTTTCGCAAACTTTTAAAGATTTGTTTGAAAAATTAAATTTTCATAAAATCAGCGTAAAAGTGATCTTATAGTCTGTTTGTTGACCAGTTTTAATGATTAGACAATTGTGCGAATTGAAAGTGAATTAGCAAGGTTACTTATTTAGTAATTAATTGGATTTTGCATTAAATGGTCAGAAGTATATACTCGGACTCATCAATGCCTCGATCGGAGTCCTCGAGTCCTATCAATTCGGACGTCAGTATTGACATCAATGATGAAGAAGAAGAGATGTCTCGACCGCTAAAACGAGAGCCTATTCTGTCATCACTTATGCACCGAAACGATTCAATCAATTGTAGTAAACCATCAAAATTATCATTCAGTATAAACCGGTTATTGGGAGCCAATAGTGACTCTAAACACAATCAAAGCGGCACTACATCTGAAGGGGAGTCGGAATCGCCGTCTTTCCTATGCTCTCAATACTCATCAAAAAACAATGCAATCATTGCCTCGTATTCATCGTCTTCATCGCCTGACTCCAAATGCCAGTCCCATCGCATGACTGTCAGCCCATACAACCAGTTGACTGGTCCCGGCGCTGTCCTACCGGTCTCACACCGACCACCACTCTCTATGCCTTACACCACACACTATCCCTGGTTAGGGTCGAGTCCTCTCACTCTCATTAAAGACGGTTTGCAAAGTAAGTCTTTCTATACATACACTATATCTCTGCAAACACTTCGTATATTTATTTCTCACATTTTATTTAATATTTATTTTGAAATTTATATAATTAATTGCTATTATTATGGAAACGCGAATACATTTCCTAATCTAATTTCCTTAACAAAGTTTATGCGATTTCATGTCATTTATAAAGTTATTTTCACAAATTTAATGATTGACTGAGAAAGTAAATTATATAATATTAATAATATTAAGAATTATATCATAATTTTAAATATTAATTTTTCTTATATTTAGTGCTCTCTTGAGATTAATTATAAATATTCTAATTTTGGTGTTTTTAGCTTAAAATAACATTTATATAAGTTTATACAGACATAAATTCAATAATTGGAAAAATTTTCTGTTAATATTGTTTTTATTTCCTATCTTTTAATTGAACGCTAAGTGAATGCAATTCAATGCTCTTTTGGCAAATGATTTGATGATATAATGCAATAAAACCAATTGTGATGAATGTCTGAATTGCGTTTTTATGACTATCATTACATCTCTAACTTTCTCTAACTTTTTTTTGCTTTTTTAGTATTTGTTTTCCCAAACCCTAAACAAACGAAAGGAATGTATTCTATAAATTAGTCGCTCATAAAATGCCAAATGAAATGTTGTCATGCTTTGCAAATATTTGTGTCCACACTCTCATGCAATGCTATTATTAATATCAAAGTGATTATACTAAAGTGATTGTCTCTCACTATAATTGTTTTGTCTCTCTTTCCCTAATTGTATTAAACGAATGCACAGAACCGGGAGAACCGCCGAGAATTGCCGTCAAATGTGCGCTCCGTAAGCATAAAAGCAATCGTAAGCCGCGAACCCCTTTCACAACTCAACAGCTCTTAGCACTCGAACGCAAATTCCGGACAAAACAATACCTTTCCATCGCTGAGAGGGCAGAGTTCTCCAGCAGTTTGAATCTCACTGAGACTCAGGTATGCCTTCAGTCACACTATTTTTGATCATCATTAACACAAAACTTTCAATTGTTTTGCACAAAAATAGGTTAAGATTTGGTTTCAAAATAGAAGAGCAAAAGAAAAGGTAAAATCGATTGAATATGTAATATATTTATTAACATTATATAGACTCACAAATTGATATCCATATAATTTGTTTTGACATTTCATTGTAATAGCGATTAAAAGAGGCCGAGTTGGAGAAGCTTCGTCTGGCGGCCCGACCCTTCCCGGCGGCCGCCTTTGGCTTTGGTCTTCACGGCGGCCATCCGTTTGGTTTCAACGGCAATATGGGGTCCGGAGGCCCACCGCCGGCTCACTTGAGTTCAGCCGCCGCGGGCTTTGTGGTGGCGGCCGCTAATAGGGGTCCCTCTCTGTTCAATCACATCGCAAACATCGCTACCCCGTATCCCATCTACTCTTCGGGACCAATCACCTCATCCGCGGGTCCGATGATCACAACCTCCGGGCCTAATATGTCGGCTAATTCTTGTCCTTAACACTACTTGTCATACGTTATGCGCTTCAAAATCTCTACCGATTCATGGAAATGGAGGTAAAAGTGACTCAAGAAATATTAATTTAAGTATAAATAGAAAGCTATGAATTATATGAGAAGCCTATGAATGCTAATATGAAATGAAAACACGATTTTTAGTTCCTTTAGTTTTGTTTATTGATTAATTAATTATTTTTATTCCTATAAATGAGTTCAAACCAAACAAGATAATGAAAATATAATTGAATTATAAATTATATATAAACAAAAACTCATTTCACTATTTGTAATGTTTAATATATCACTAGTAATGCTGTGTTATTGTATAATAAGATTGTAGTTATAATAATGATATTGTAAATTATATAATTTGATTGAGCCCTACATATGATATAATACTATATCGATTGAACCAAATGTTGTCTACATTCATAACAATCAGATCCCAAACACTACTCTATTGTTAGTTTTGTAAATAAATCATTTGATTTACAGAATCATCGATTTCTGTAAACTTATCATCCGATCTTCAAATTCAATAAAAGAGAGAAAATTAAATTATTTTTTGCATTCATATCATTACATATATATTCATCGTATGATATATTCTGTGGGAGAAAATCGGCGATAAGTCGATTGAGTTTTAAGTGAATTGTATGTCATTTACAAGTCATTCCCTATTGTGTACTCGTTTGCTTTATGACAGCAATTACCAGGGTATAGAGCAGCAAAGTGTGTGCTGCTATAGTGAACATGTATTTGTCGAGTCAATTGAATTCCTTAGGGTTCAATCAAATACAAGTCTAATGAAATGAAACAAACAGTCATAACGTAATGTATAATATAATAGATGCCGTATTACACTCGACATGAGCGTTAATATAAATCAATACATTTCTAAATACAATTCAAATGTTGTGTAAATTGAAGTCGAGTCGAGTGTAGGTCCTAAGCGGCCAGTCGTGCACAACGAGCGCCACTGAATGCGTGCTATAAAGTCATTGTGTTTGCAATATATGATTGATTATTGCTATCCTTTAAACAGAGCTTATATTCTCATTGTTAGCATACAATACAATATAACATAATATATAAATTTCCTCATTTTATTGATTTAAATGACTTCAACTACGCTTATAGTGAGTATTTAGCAAATATAAAGCATATACAGTACAGTACTGTTATAAAACATAGATAGCATAGAAAGTGGAGATTCTGTAGAGAATACCTATATTTTAATTAGTAAGCGCTCACCAGTTAATTACATTTCGATTTTGTAATGTAATGAAATGCCACACATTTATTAAGTCGACAATAAGCTCGAGCTAATGGAAGTCCTCGACGTGTCTATTGAAGATAATGTGATAAAATGTGATTAATTAAAAGACAAATTGCCTGACTCTATGTCCAACACTACACTAAACTATTGCCTCTATTGCCTACATATGTGACAACACTGTCACCAAAAATTGTTTTCAATTCTATAGTCGACTTTCAATTCACTTCTTATATATGGCTCTGTTTTTCAGATTTTGATTTATGTTTAATTGAATACAAATTAAATTAAAAATAAAAGATCTAAACAACAGATTGTTATATAATTTGATTTTAGCAGCGAATGAGTATAATTTGGAAAATATAATGTTTTGTTAATTATAGGACAACAGTATTAATGAAATGATGATTAGTTTGCCTGAACTGACACTTGCATTGATGTCTAAATGAAGATATCAATCGTGACGACAAAAGAGATTTTCGTAAAAATGCTTTTCAAGTGAAACAGTAGTTTGAAATTGATTGTGTAAAACAAATTTCTTTTCTCTAGAATGACAGCCGCTTTTGAGTGAGATTTTAATTCGTTTATTATAGGGTTGGGCTAAAACACCTATTCCCCAATTTGACTCTCAAAATATTTGTTAACACAAACACAGCTTTTTATTGTGATTTGAGAATGAGATGAAACGTTTGATTTAGTCTTTTAGTCAAAACTTTGCTGAGAAAGTCAATGAAATGAGTTGTATGCATACGCGTGGCTACAAGTGTTGTATGAATAGGCCTTAAATGGGATTCAATAGATTGACATTATGGTCCACTTTGTGTATAACTTTGTGCACTTTATAGCCGTTGCCATAAAACCATTTACTTATAGTAAACGCCACTCCTGTGAACACAATTGACATTCTTTGAGTTTGCCTTAAGTGCACAAAATGTGATATTTTATTGCGATTATAGTCACAGACAATAGATTATCCATTACTTGAAAGCATACAAACAGAGTATAACTCGTTTTCTAATTTATACGAAGTAGTTATGAATCCGAGTTATGAATTGCGGTCTGAGTTGAGGCTTGTTTTGAGGTATTAGTTGAGGTTTGGCCACAAAACTCATATTCAATACATTTATCTCCAGTTGTATCCTAAGAGCCGTCGGCAACATATTTATTAGCGGTTTGGCTTCAAAACCAAAAGCTCTTCATAAGTGATATTTTGCTCATAAGTTAAATGGTAAATTTGAAAAATGTCATCTCATTTCATATACTGCTTGTGGTGTACACTATATGTATGTATCGCTCAAATCCATACAAAAGAATACAATTATTGAAGAGACGGTGACATAAATATGACACTCTATGACACTCCCAACCATTGACAGCCATTGCCATCATTTCTTCACAATTGATATTTCAATTCACTTTCTGTCGATAGCTTTCACTAAATATTACTCATATTATCCTCAAATCGAAAGTAATATAAACTTTTGACAAAAATTATTGACTTTTAAAAGGATTGATATTTTCTTCGAAGGAAATCCTAATTCTCTTGAATTCAAACTATTGTTGAATTTGAAATAATCTTCAATTCCTATATCAACTGATTTGCTTCTAATGACACAATAAATTACAAGACATTTCATGGCATTATAGAAATTATTGGAAAGCATTTGGACATTTATTTTATTTTTTCAAAACTTATCAAATTCAATTGAAATGGAAATTTGTTAAACTTTTTATTGAACTTTAAATAGAGATAATTATATAGAATGTGCAGTCATTTGATTTAAGCCTAAAAAAGTCATTAAATACTTATTAAAGTCATAAAACATTGAAACTTGTTTTACAAATTCATTGTAAAAGCGAATTAAGTGATGGATAAGTTTTATTTGAAAATTAATTGTTTTACACAAATCCAATAAAATTGCGTTTATCTTAAAAAGTCATTAATTTGAGACAATTTATTGGTTGTTAGTGTGAACAATAAAATATACTAAATTGGTGTCTTTATCCTCATATAAAGATTATTAAACAAATTTCTATATATTTTATTAAATGATTTCAAATAAATTAGAAACCAATTAATGGTTTGTATTGGACTTTGATTGACAGCATTTAATTGAGATAAAGAGCGCTCCTTTGATCGCCAAAAAGCATTGAGAGATCGCTTTTGACAGTCATTTATGTAATGAACGTTTCGCGGACTCAACCAAATGCTAATAATTAGCAATTATTTTCTTAAATTCTCGGCAATAATCTCAAGTATTTTACCAAATATTCATTAAGTAATTCACTTATTAGGTGAGTTTAACGAAGTTACTAACTATTAATAACAAGATTTTAATAGTTTTAATTGCTTTGAAACCTATTGGTACCGAAGGACTGTATAACATAGCTTGTCAAGTATTTTGAAAAATAAAATTATTTCAATTTTTATATAATTTATTTACAAATAAGCAGATCATTAATTTTTAATTAATTACAATTGATTTTATTACAATTTATAAAACACTTATTTCATTGATTTTTATTTCCATAAAAAATTATTTATAAATAAATTGTTAGATAACGCGAATAATAGCACAATTGCATTATACAAACAATTGATGAAAACTTTATTCAAATATAAACGCTGTGAAAGCTGCACAAAAAAATCAATTTAGTGTTTGTTTGAAACGAATAGTAAATATAATTAAATAATTGAATTGTATTTTGATTGAGCGATTGGATGGGCGTTTGTACGGTAGCCGATGTCTTCATAGACACCTATATGTTCTTATTTGCTTTACTTCTCTACTTTTTGTTTGGCATTTATTTGCTTCTCAGTGCTCATCAGCACAACAAAAGCCAATGACTTCATTCACGCTGTTATCGATGGCAGTCATCATCGCTTGCCATCAAAGTTATGGTCGACGCAAACCTTTCACACAAAAAATCATTCAATTGTCGACAATATATTTAGTCAAATGCCGATTGTTCCCCGTCTTGTTATCTAATTTTATATTTATTTTAATAACATTTTCTGGCGCTTAATCTAAAGTCAGAGCAAAATTTTATATGAAAAGTCTAATACTTGATGATTGAAATTCATGGCAAATATCCTCTCAACAAATCGACGCCGAGAAAGAGAATAAATTCCTTAATATTGTTATAAATATGAAAATATTTATCAAATTCAGCTGAAATCAAATCCAAACATTTATTTTAATATTAATAAGTTATGCGATAATAGAATTCAGTGTTTTATGAAACCAATCTCTCATTCATATAAACCATTAGTTTTTATTTTATTTAATATAATATCAAATATGATATTAAAGTGTATATAAGATGATAATGCGAAACGTATGTCAGATGTGGTATGTTTGCTGTAATAAAAACAATGTCTAAGTTTAATATTAGCTTTTATATATTTTTTGTTTTGCCAAAATGTCTCCGAAATATAAGTAACATTAACTCCCGTCGCGGATATTTCATAATAAAAAGTTTTGCTCGGCTTTGGATCGGCTGTTGTGCCACACATTCACTCATTTATAATATAGTTTTTGTAAGAACTTCCGAATTGTGATAAATGACCCGTTTTTTATCCCAGTCTTCAAAATGTTTGCCACAAGAAATTATTGAGGGAATTGAGGGGAGGAGTGAATTCAATATAATTCTGGGCCTAATCTGTTCGTCACTACATATGATGTTCACACTATTTACTGTATTTTATTTTTCATAATAAGCTG